GGCATAAAAAGTCAAAAAAATGACATAGTATTGTAAGGCGTTGTATTGTAGTATTGTAAGGTGTATTGTATGATGTTTTTTTGCCTTACTAAACTATGTCGTTTTTGTGACTTTTTATGCCTCATTATACTATGTCACTTTTATGTCTTACTATACTATGTCATTTTTATGCCTTACAATACTATGTCATTTTTTTGACTTTTTATGCCTTACTATACTATGTCATTTTTTTGCCTTTTAATACTANGTCAAAAAACAACATAGTATAGTAAGACATAAAAAATCAAAAAAATTACATAGTATTGTAAGGAATAACAATGACATAGTATAGTAAGGCATAAAAAGTCACAAAAACGACATAATATTGTAAGGCATAAAAAGTCAAAAAAATTACATAGTATTGTAAGGCATAAAAAGTCAAAAAATTACATAGTATTGTAAGGAATAAAAATGACATAGTATAGTAAGGCATAAAAAGTCAAAAAAATGACATAGTATTGTAAGGCGTTGTATTGTAGTATTGTAAGGTGTATTGTATGATGTTTTTTTGCCTTACTAAACTATGTCGTTTTTGTGACTTTTTATGCCTCATTATACTATGTCACTTTTATGTCTTACTATACTATGTCATTTTTATGCCTTACAATACTATGTCATTTTTTTGACTTTTTATGCCTTACTATAGTATGTCATTTTTTTGACTTTTCATGCCTTACTATACTATGTCATTTTTGTGAATTTTTATGCCTAACGATACTATGTCGATTTTGTGACTTTTTATGCCTCACTATACTATGTCATTTTTGTGCCTTACTATACTATGTCATTGTTATGGCTTACAATACTATGTCGTTTTTGTGACTTTTTATGCCTTACTATACTATGTCGTTTTTTTTTACTTTTTATGCCTCACTATACTATGTCATTTTTATGCCTTACTATCCTATGTCGTTTTTTGACTTTTTAAGCCTTACTATACTGTCATTTTTATTCTTTACAATACTATGTAATTTTTTTGACTTTTTATGCCTTACTATACTATGCCGTTTTTTTGACTTTTTATGCCTTACTATACTATGTCATTTTTTTGACTTTTCATTCCTTACTATACTATGTCGTTTTTGTGACTTTTTATGCCTAACAATATTATGTCGATTTTGTGACTTTTTATGCCTCATTATACTATGTCACTTTTATGTCTTACTATACTATGTTATTTTTATGCCTTACAATACTATGTTTTTTTGACTTTTTATGCCTTACAATACTATATCATTTTTATGCCTTTTATGCCTTACTATACTATGTCGTTTTTGTGACTTTTTATGCCTCACTATACGATGTCATTTTTATTTCTTACAATATTATTATGTTTTTTTGACTTTTTATGCCTTACAATACTATATCATTTTTATGCCTTTTATGCCTTACTATACTATGTCGTTTTTGTGACTTTTTATGCCTCACTATACTATGTCATTTTTATGCCTTACAATACTATGTCATTTTTATGCCTTTTATGTCATATAATACTATGTCGTTTTTGCTATGCTGTACGTATGTCGCATTTTTGACTTTTTATGCCTTACTATACTATGTCATTTTTATGCCTTTTATACCTTATTATACTATGTCGTTTTTGTGACTTTTTATGCCTTACTATACTATGTCGTATTTTTGACTTTTTATGCCTTACAATACTATGTCGTGTTTTTTTTACTTTTTATGCCTTACAATACTATGTCGTTTTTGTGACTTTTTATGCCTTACAATACTATGTCGTTTCTTTTTACTTTTTATGCCTTACTATACTGTTTCGTTTTTTTGACTTTTCATGCCTTACAATACTATGTCGTTTTTTTGACTTTTTTACCTTACTATACTATGTCGTCTTCATGCCTCAATATACTATGACGTTTTTCTTGACTTTTTATGCCTTACAATACTATATCATTTTTTTTAGTTTTTATGCCTTACTATACTATGTCGTTTTTTTGACTTTTTATGCCATATAATACTATGTCGTTTTTTTTACTTTTCATGCTTTACAATATTATTTTCTTTTTTTGACTTTTTATGCCTTATAATACTATGTCGTTTTTTTTTTACTTTTTATGCCTTACAATATTATGTCGGTTTTTTGACTTTTTATGCCTTACTATACTATGTTTACTTCATGCCTCACTATACTATGACTTTTTTGTGACTTTTTATGCCTTATTATACTATGTCATATTTTTTACTTTTTATGCCTTACAATACTATGTCGTTTTTGTGACTTTTTATGCCTCAGTATACTATGTCGTATTTTTTACTTTTCATGCCTTACTATACTATGTCATTTTTATGCCTTTTATGCCTTAATATACTGTGTCGTTTTTGTGACTTTTTATGCTTTACAATACTGTCGTTTCTTTTTACTTTTTATGCCTTACTATACTATGTCGTTTTTTTGACTTTTTATGCCTTACTATACTATGTCGTCTTCATGCCTCACTATATTATGTCGTTTTTATGCCTTACGGTATTATGGCCTTTCTTTTTTACTCTTTATGCCTTACTATATACTATGTCGTTTTTATGCCTTTTTAATGTCTTACTATACTGTGACATTTTTCATTCACACAGTTCTTGTTTAGCTCAACAAACTAATGCCAAATCTTTTCCCAAATAAACTTTTTTAAATCCATGTCCCTCCTTCAAACTGTCTACATCAAACGGCAGATTGTAGACATTGAATTTTATTTCGGAAAAGAATAAAATCGAAATTAGTCATTAATTTGTTAGGTTACCCAGTCTGTGTTTAAGAACATGACCTCTTTTTTGATCAGTTAGTCAGTATGAGGACAGAGATAGTGATCTCAAATATTATTCAGATCAAATTAAAATCTGCCTGTCCATCTTTATAACACTGAGACTCTGTGGACACTGAGATCATCCTGTTTCTGGGTCAGAATCTCATTTTACCATCATAGATCTATAAACTTCGGTCTGATCTGCTTCATATACAGTATATCTATAAACTTCTGCTGCAGAAGAACTTGGTCCGCATCAGGTGTAACCTGATCTAACAGAAATAAAAGTTGTTAGATAACATGGTCTAGTGGATGACGCTGAATAAAATGTTAGTTTTAACTAATTGACTCTTTTCTCCAGCTCAGACTCTTTCACTGCTTTTTGTTTTTTTCTTTTTAGAAATAAATGTGCTTTAATGTCACACATATTCATCTTTCTGGCTCCACTGGATTAAAATGGAGGCCCTGCTCTTTATTTACGTGTTGCCATGGTGAATTGTCGAATCGGAGATCCACTCATGATGGCTTTTCATATTCCTCATGCACGTGGTTAACTCAGAGTGAACACACTCAGAGTTGATTGAACTTACTCAGATCAGCTGTTCTGGAAACGAAAACTCAGTTTCCCATCTCATGGTTCATCAACTCAGAGTTCAGGTGTCAAGAGTTTTAAACAGCTGTCTGGAATAGACCCCAGCTGTTAACATGTAATTTGCCTTCTGATGATGTTATGACAGTGCATTCAGAGTGTTAAGAGTGCATTCGTGTTTTCCACATTTTGTTATGTTGCAGCCTTATGCTAAAATCATAAAAATTAATTTTTCAGATGTGCAGATTGTTGCATCATACCCAAGAAGACTTCTGCTGTAATCGTTCCCAAAGGTGCTGAGAAATAGTCTAAATATTTATGTCAATGAGATATTCCAGTTTTTCCTTTATAATAAATTAGCAAAAAAATCTAAAATTGTTTTGGCTTGGTCATTATGGGGTACTCAGTCTAGATCAATGAGGGGGAAAAATGAATTCAAACAATTTTAGTATAAGGCTGCAACATGCATGTTACCAAAATATTGTAGCTGGGTACTGTAGTTCATACAAATCAGTTCACACCAAACCTAAAGCTCAATGCACAGGATAATATTTATGCTGCACTGCTCTAACCCTGCAATGCTATTAACAGTAATAGAAAGGATGTTAATATACAAGTCACCAGGGAAGAAGAAAAGATAACCTGAGTGTGTCTGCTATGCTCTGTGTAGTTTGGCTGCTTGTATGATCAGTCTGTTAGTAAAAAATCTTTATTTTATATTTTAGAAAACTGAATAGGGGCAGTAGTCTGGAAACACAAGTATTTTTCTCATTTTCATACTGATCGAGACCTGGAAGTTATTCAAATCAAATTCCAGTTAGTTTACAGTTAGTTCATGTTCTTTGTGCTGTATATAATCATTTTTCCAACTGGAACACAAAATGTGCATCTTTACCATATTTTTAAAAACCTGACTTAATCCTTAATTGGGCAGACTTTGGCAGACCTAGGCAGGAATTTTATTGCATTTAAACTTTTTCTCAAAAGTATGAATAACTGCATGAGAATTTTGCAGTTAATACTTGGAAATAATTTGATCCATTACCATGCCAAATGACTGTGGTCAAGTGTCTGGGACATTTTGCAGAACACAGAACCCACAGATGTAACCAATCTGCTGGGGCAAGTTAAGACTCTGGACAATGTGGTGTTTTTTCCAAACAAAAAGCTTTTATTTATTAATCATGTGTATCAGTTTATGCTGTCTTGGCAGCCCTGGTGCGCTTCTTTTTGACCACAACAGGCTTCTGGCTCTTCAGAATGGCACTGGCACGACGCAGGGCAGCCTGGAGAAAAAAATTAGGCTCAAATTATGTTGTTGAAAGCTTTGAAATATGAACATAAGATAAAAGGACAACCTTAAAATCATCATATAAACCAATTTGTTGACACTAAATCTGTGATTTTGCCATTAAACTGTACAGATTATAGCTCACCATGCGCAGGTCCTTCCTGTACTTGTTCTTGCGAATGATGTGCCTCAGGCTGTTGAGGGTGGCGCGGGAGTTCTTGTTAATGGTGATCTTCTCGTAGGAGCCAACAGGTTTGTGCTGACCTGTGTAAAAAGAGAAAAAGTGTTGAAATGTTAACACACTAGCAGTAATAATCCAAACACACTGAAAAAAAACTCCATATCAGCTGTACATATTATTGTTAAGAGCAGCGCTCATCTGCACCAAGATTATATGCACCATTTTTCATGTCCTTTCAGCTCAGTTCATGTTAGTGTATTCCAGGGATCAGTGAGTGCAGAGGGTAAATCTATTGGAAAGCTTGAACAGCTGTCATTTGAATTCTTGCTTGTGACCTCAACCTAAAACTGTCACTACGATTTCTTTACTTTCTATGATTTAGAACATGAGCCAACTCTACTTTGAATCATTTCAGGAAAGCAGGGTGACTCAATAAAGCATCTGTACATGATATAAAAAGTAGCTGCAGTAGAGTATGTTCAAGGCTTGTATAATTTTTGAGGTTATAACATAATCGATGACAAACGCAGCCTTGGTTTCAGGAGAATCACCTGATAGTGTTGACCCAAGTATTAAAAAAAAAAAAAAATCTTGATGTCTTTCAGTCAAGGGCATGCAGCCAGCTAAAGGCTGAATTTGCAAACATTTTACTCCGTTCACAGCTTTCAAATGAATCGTTATTACTATTTTTTCATTTTCTCCAATTTACTGAGTTTATGTTCACTTACATTTTTCCAGATGATACGATGTGAAGTGAACTTACTTTTATGGCTATTTCATTTGTAAGGTATATGAAAAGGTACAAAGATGCAGAAATCCTGATGGGTTTTGGCATGCTGAGTTAATATCAGTTAATATTTGTACTATGGCAGGGAAGAATTGTTTATGATTTGTCTGCTCGATTATTTTTACTGGTAGGCGTCACTAACGAAAACTGTTAAGTGAGGTTTTGAGTAATGAATCTTTTGTTGATGCAATTGGCTGTGAAGCCTCATTGCTTCAGGAATGCCTTGTTTCCCAATCACTAATATTGACATAGCGTTTTCGTTCAAATGATTAAAAGACCTCTTGTGAACACCAACTAAAGTTTGCTTGTACTCTACACAAAAAATAACTTACAAATATAGGAAGTGCCTGAAGATAAAACAATCATCAAGTATTTACCTGAACGCTTCTTCAGCACGACAACGACACCCTTGCCATCGGCCGCTGGCTGCACACCTACAGTCTTCTTGTGCACCAAACCATTGAAGCGGAAAGAGTTCCTGGACTTCAGGTTGTTGGGCTCCTGTTACATGAATTTATTAAATTGTCATTACCCAATTGAACAGCTTGTGTACCTTCAAACACTGACAATTACATATTTAATTCATGACCAAGATCACTCCTGTCATATCCTGTTAACTACAGACTAAGGTCTTTTTTATGTCAAATCTAAATCAATGTTGTAATATGTGTGCCAACAGATATTGAAATGCTTCTACCCATTCAACTTCACAAAAAGGAAGCAAAATGATGGCTCAACAGATTTTGCACATTATTATTATCTACAGAAGCTTTCTCAAGTGGCAGCTATGAGTATCTTTACCATTAACATTTAAAACTGCATTATTGGACAAGAATATACTGAGAATCAACAGTTGAGCTGCAACAATTAGTCAATCATCAGAAAAATACTATGCAACAATTGAGTGATTTTTCTTTTAAGAAAAACTGCCAAATAACGCCATTTTTGAACCATTTATAGACTGAAGGATTCATCAAGAAAAATAACTGGCAGATTAATCAATAATGAAAATAATCGTTAGTTGCAGCCCTATTTGACAGCCAACTCAGACCGTGTTTAGTATCAGTTTGTTGCACACTGTTGGGACTCAGGTACAGTTACGTCTTTCACTCAGGTAGTGTAAGATACTTACAGTGCTGTAGGTCTGTCCGTTCCTCTTGATGAGGAAGCTGGAGCAGTTCCTGATGACCATCCACTGCAAATGGGACGACATGATGAACCTGGACAAAACAGGACCAAGTATTAGTGAAAATACATCTGACAGGTTACAAACTGTAGTTGAAACAATTTGCATTTAAGCTAGCGTGAAGCGTGTTCGCTTAATTTCACATTTTCTCTCTATAGTTAACCGCCAGTGAGTGGGGGGAATCAAGAGCCAGTTTTAAACACAATATAGACAGCTTTAATAAATCTGCGCTTAAATGTAGAAAGCCCTGAGCAATGTTTCATGACGTTACAGTTTTCTAACGCTAGCTTCAAAGCTCAGCACAACGAGGCCTAACCGGGGCGACGTGTTCACAAAGTTTTCTTTCAATTTTGACATTATACGGGGGCATCTACTGCCACAACTGATGTATAACCATTAACAGAACAATAATATGACACTTTATGAAGTTAAACAGAAATAGGGAGATCAAACAAACCAACTTTAATGACCGACTGTTAGCAGCAGATGCGACCACGTTACCTTTTAGCGGAGGAAAGGACCGGAGAGAGCGGAAACCGCTTTACGGAACCTCTGTCTGAGATCCTTGCGCACCTAAATCCACCCTTTTATAAGATATTTACTATCTAACCCACGTTTTCACGCATGTAAAGCACGTGTATTCAATATTAATTATCTTTTTTGTAGTATTTTCGAAGTGTTATGATGCTATACGAAATTTTCATTGCCACTCTATGGAGAACTAGTTATCCTCAAACCCAGCGGAAGAATACGTCCTCACCGCTCTTGGGGAAAGCTTAACGTCATTACTGTGCGCCTGGTGTTTACAGATAGCCGTCAAAAATTCAGCAGGTACCAACTATCCGCTGTTTTAACCCCAAACAGTGGAGAGTTATTTTAGTCTGTAACATGAGTGCATGTCCATGACAAGAACAGCATAAATAAGTTGACCAATGTCGTGAAATTCTGCAGTTTTGGACGTGGTTTTGTATGTTTTGTGGATGAATGCTGGTGTGATTGGAAGATGTAAACACCACAAAGTTGTTACAGGTGAAAATCATCTGGAAAACAAATCAGTTCAAAGCCGTATGAAAGGTTGAAAGCAGTGTCTTAATGTGATGGATGAAGAAGAAGATATGGAGACACTCGGTGAACAACTGTACAGTCGGATTTACCCCAAACACAAAGAGATTGCTGGGAAACTCACAGGTGAGCTGACGTTATAAAACCAGCAAAATCTGTATTGTAATAACACTGAAAATACGATATAAAACCATAGTTGCCAATCTTGCCTGCGTGTTCCAGGTATGTTGCTGGAGCTGCCAGGTCCTGTCCTGAGTCAGATGCTGCAGGACGAGGCCATGCTGACTGCAGCTGTGGAGAAAGCCCTCCGAGCCCTGCAGCTGTCACAGGAGCCAAGGTACGGGAATGGGTAGGACCTGATCTCCTTCCTCCATCACCTTGAACAGGCTGGTGAGAGAGTATGTAGATCCTCATAAGTCCTCATTTCTGAGCCAGATGCATCCCCAGCAGAGGAGTGAGGTAGTCTTAAAATGTAGAAAGCACAGATTATTATACCATTGAACTGTCAAGTGTCTTTCTAAAAAATTACCTACTATAGAACTTGAGTCAACCGCTTTTTTAAATGGTGTATTTTTCACCTCTTTGCAGCAGGGTAACATGTAGGGATGAGGATGATGTGTCTGTATCCTCTGACTCTCTTGGGGAGCAGCTGTTTGAGCTGGTGGATGTCTACAACACTGGATACTCACAGAAAATCACAGGTAAGAAACCCGTCTCTGACTCAATAAACACTGAATGTTATGAGGTTAAATAGGACTAAAACAGCGCTAAACTGTGGATAAAGAAGACGTACTATGAAGTTACCTTCAAAGTAACCCACATACTAATGGTCTTTATTGAGTATATTATATAACTTTTTCTAACACAGTTTTCTCATTTAATTTCAGAAAATAAACACATTTGGTTTTCTAGTTTACTGCTTGAACCAATCCACAGCTGTAACCATGGCAGTGGCATGGCCCTAGAGATGCCAGTGTCGGTCAGTTGGTCGGTCACCACTTTGGTCCAGACTGAAATATCTCAACAACTATTAGATGGAGTGCCATGAAATTTCGTACATTCATTCATGCCCCCCCCCCCCCCCCCAATTGATTGTTAATTTACTTTAGTGATCCTTAAACCTTTCATCTAGCACCACCATCAGGTCAAAATTCCTATATGTCTAATACTAATGGCATTCCCATTAGCCTCAGCTCTACTTTGTCTTTAGTGACAATTAGCAAATGTAAGCTATTGTGACCATGTTGTTGTATTTAGCTCAACACCACTGTGCCTAAATGCAGGCTCACAGAGCTGGCAGCATGGCTGTTATAATTTATATGCAGATTCATATATGAGCAACTAGTGTGTGATATACTGAACGATTCCTTGTTCTACCACAGGAATGCTTCTGGAGCAGCACAAAGAGGCAGTTTTAAACCTTTTTTCAGATCCAAAACTACTAGAGGAACAGGTGAACCTCGCTGTGAAGACACTAAAAGAGTATGTGACTTATCACTGTTCACACAACATACTCATATCTGCACACAAGGGCATAATCACTCATTTATATCCATTTCCTTTTCCATGTAAAAAAAATTGCAATTCAAATCTAGAAAATAATCGATTCAGTAAGAGGAGGGATTAATGAATGAATTACTGTTTAACCTGTTTGCAATAATGATCCTGCTGCTTGACTTCAGGCAGAATGAGGAGACAGACATCAGTGACTCATCCGATGCTGATGACACAGAGAAACTGGGAGAGAAGCTCTTCTCCCTGGTGCAGGAGATGGATCCTCTTCATGCAAATGATATTACAGGTGAGCTGATACTCTGTTGGCATTCCCTGTAAATATAATTGATCTTCCTAGATGTAATGTCTTGGAAGTTTATGATTTTTCTGACTATATAGGCCCATATATGTATAACCAAAGCATAACACGAATGATATTTAATGATGTTTGTACTGCATCGATCTATCTGTCTGTGTAGGTATGCTGCTGGAGATGGATCCAGCTGCTCTCCAACAGCTGCTCAGTGACCATACGATGCTGCAGGTGGCTGTTCAGAAAGCACAAGCAGCACTGGACACTTCGAATTGAACTCTATTGAAGAGGACGACAAACTTTTACACATAGAATAACACATTATTGAATGAATGACTTGTATGAACTCAGATAATATAATGCTGGAACATCATGGCAATACAACTTGCCATGATGGGTCTACGTTTGACTGGACCAACTGTAAATAAGTGAAGAGTCTAGTAAGCCTCTTCCCAGATGAAATGAACTTGATATTGCCACTTTCTAATACTGGTGCTCACTTTGCTAATACACGATTGTCTTTATCAGATAAAAGGACTGAACACAAGTGCCAGGGTGTTTAATAAGAAATATTTATCAGTGTTGCTCCATTTGGGAGCCGAACCTCCACAACAAAACATCAGAATCTTTGTTGTTTGATGAAAATATGTTGGCTGTATGAGAGGGTTTACTTGTATGTTCTTACCTCAGTGTTGCCAACAGTCATGCCAGAGATGACAATGTATTTGTTTGGATTTTGTAACAAACTGTATTCATAATGATGTATCAGTAAGTATGTCAAATGGCTGAATTATCTCCACAACTATTGGATGGACTGCCCTGAAATGTTATGTGGACGTTCATGTTAACCCAGAGGATGAATGTTGACTTTTGACTTTTTCTGTAGCAATGTTTTTCACTTACCCTGTGAAATATCTCAACATCTACTTGTCAGACCGGCACAAAATGGTGTACAGACATTCAAGGTTCCCAAACAACATATTCCAATGACTTGTGCGGATCCCTTCACTTTTAATCTAGTACCATCATCAAGTTCAAATTTCATCTTACTTTATGACCAAACATCTGCAAAACTAATGACATTCCGCTCAGCCTCAGCTGTTCATGTTTTGTGTTAATTAGCAAATGTTAGCATGCTAACACAAAAACTATGATGGTGAACATGCATAAATAAAGTGGGAAATTATTATTATTATTGTTATACATAGACCATTTTACAAAGTCTTGTCAAAAAAAAGCAACTTAGGAAACAGGTTAAAAACTTTTTTTTTTATGCAGTGAACTGAATATTTTTTTAATTGAAAACATTTAGGGTTTTTCAAACGCTGCTGAGCATTAATCTTTTAGAGAAATGGATGTGACTCCAATGTAACACTATGAGAGGCACAAACTGGGGCTAGTAGCTAGCTAACTTGCAAAACATGGTGACCTGTGGTTAGATCACCCCAGTACTTTTACATGACATTTGCATGACTTTCTTAGACGTAAAGTCAAAATGTCACTGTAAATCCCCTCTGTCAACATTTCAACCACTACATGATATCTGACTTTGAAATACACTTCAGCCCAGACCTTTTTTTGGATTTCCTCACAGGTACCATACTAGATTTGCTTTGCTCTGCTTTGATAATGTTCTTAGTATTCATCGGTTATTGATCATAAAGGAGCTATTTGGCATCACACCTGCTGACATTTAGACTTTCCTCAGGTACAGATACCTGCCAAAAGAGATTTAACAAGTTTCTAATGTTTAATGTAATAGTCATTTTATTTTAAAACACGAAGTTCTTTTATGAAACCAGAACACATCTCTTTCATAGTGCTACAGAGCGCAAAAAATACCTTTATTACCATTTTGTTCTTACCTTTTCTATTTACTGTTTATGTCAACAATTTTACAGGAGAAACTCTAAAACACTGGGGAAAACAATTACTTCTCTGAAACAGAAGAGGAACTTTTAAAATCATAACCTGATGTCTACAAAACCATTGAATTAGAAACATTTCGGATGACAAAAGAAAAAAAGAAAAAAAAATCTGAAAATGAAAATTAAAAGGAAGTCGTTAGACTGCAATTAGCTCTCAATTCACAATTTAGATAAAGATTTATTTGTCTGCAGAAGCGGCCAATACAAATGATCAGAATATGAATCCATGTAATTTCTGGTCAGTCATAAATGCATTTTGTCAAAGCTATTCAGAAAAAAATTAATTGCTCTCCACACACTCACACACCTTTTTGCCTACAGCTCATAAATACAATCAATCTGATATACAAATATTTGGATAGATTTATTTTTAGCAACATTTAAAATGCATTTTAATCCTGATTCCTGCTGTTCTGAAGACCACCCCTCGTTTCGTTGATATTGTCAAATTTCTCGGGAGGAGAAACTGAAGCCTAACTTGGACGAAAGACCCTGACACATCTGTAACGTGGAGAGTTGCTGATGGGCAGGAGGACATTTAAATAAATATCTGAAACGAGCAGCATCCTAACACTGCAGACTTCCTCCAGCTCTCAGGTTGTGAAGCCAGTTCGAGTCTCTTTCCTGTGTCATTCAACATCCTTCCTTTACTGGAGGGCGACTGAGGAAAAGCAAACAACACAGCAGACAATGCACTATTGACACAATTCATTCTCACACAAAATGCTATCTCCAGTTGAGTGAAGGACACTGAAGAGCTGCACATACAAGTCCGATATAACAATATGAAATTAAAAAAAAGGTGCCACTTTCTTTCTATCCATCACACATACAATCAATCAATCAATCACACATGGACATTTGGACTTTAGACACAAAGGGAAACCTAAAACAGGACCTAGGATGATCAGTGTTGCATTTGAGTCGAAGCTGGACAGCTTAGAGGATCAACATATTTATTGTACACTAAATTACGCCTACATGGACATCCAGTTTGTGTTTGACTGCATCCATGGATGCGCTTTTATGTGTGTTAAAACCCATTATACAACTGTCGGTTTTCTGTTTGGATGCAGAAATAAGCCCTTCAGGGAGACGCCGTGCCTGTTAAAAATACACCAGTGACAAATTACTGAACTAAAGAAAAAGATGACAGTGGTTAAGCTGTCTGACAAAGACCAACATGGTGAAGACTGTGATTATGCTCTTCGTAGGTGCAGGCAAAAAGAAGTATGTCCATGTGCTTCATTTTCTTCCAGGTAGGATACCACTCTATTCAACAAGTCTGTTCACGCAATCTCGCTGCAAAATGATGTTTACTTCAACACGGGGTACTGGCGCTGACCGCCCAAACGACCAGAGCGGAGTCCACCTCCTGGTGGTGCACTTGTCTGAGAAAAGGAGTGAAAACAACAGCAAGGAAAGACAATTATAAAGTGAAAAAGAAGAAAAATGAGAGGGCCTTTTATAATGTCAGTATACTGGTTCACATTGATTTTTATTTTTTAATGCCATACCTGTGCAAACTGTGCAGGGTTATAAAAGGTGACGCCTCCTGTGGGTGGAGCTCCCTGGGCAGGATGACTCTGAAAGGCACAAACAGAGTTACTACAGTGTGTGCAGTGCTGCTATCCCATTATGTAGAGACGCAGATTCAGCGAGGAGGATGCACTCCCAATGGCACACAATGTTTTGACAACACTATAAAACAGAGGCGAAGGAAAAGTGGAAAAGTAATGGCAAAGAGGACTTGGATCCACAGTGAGGCAGCATTACAAACCACTGTTTCACTTGTTTTAGTAACCATGCAAGCTTTATGATGGGTTAATGAAGCGATGAGCTCCCATGATAACGAGGGAGTCGTCCTGCCAACAGTCTCCAGCATGCTTAACTCTCATGATCTATGACTCTATGACTAAATTTCCTAGCGACCCTCAGGTGAAGTAGATTGTTCACTATAGTCTACATCGCTGCAAGCAGCTCTGTGAACTAAATGCTAACATATTCACAGTGAGAATGCTAACACGCTGATATTTAGCAGGCATGTTAGCTTTTGCTAATTACCACTAAAAGGACAGCTGAGGCTGATGGGAGTGTCACAAACCAAAGACCTGAACATGTACTGTTTATAATAAATTTCATGGCAATCTCTCCAATAGTTGATATTACACTAAGAAATACAAATGTCAACCTCATGGTGGTGCTAAAGAAAAATCAAAGACACTAGGATACGTCCTCTGTTGACCATGAATGTCTGCAGCAAATTTTGTCTCAATCCATGGTGTAGATGTTGAGATGCAAACTTTGACCTGCAGGTGGCGCTAGAGAAAAAGTCATGGGATCACCAAAGTCAGTTGACTTCTAGTGAGGCTATAAATGAGGAGCTTCGTTGTCATCACTGTAGCTCGGAATTTGTTGACCATTTGCCCAATTGTGGTTGTTCATAACAGATAAGAGAGTTAAGTTAGCAATGTTGGAGAAGGCAGGCAGGTGAGCAGGCAGACATCCTGGGTTGGATGGGCAGTGAAGCTTCAGGTGCAAATGGTGAAGCATGCTACTAGTGATGTAATGAGCTGGGTGGGTGAGCAGGCGGGGGTGAGAGTGGACCATTTGAGGTCCAGCTAGAGGTACCTGGTTTAAATGCTGACTCACTTCGCGTGATAAAGAACTCATTGAGCTAGAACGTGAGAGCTTAAGACAGCAGGAGGGAAATAAACAGACAAAATAAAAAAAATAAAAAAATAAAAACACAAACCACAAACCCATGAATTGGATTAGATCTGTTTCTACCATCCACCAGTTCAGAATGAAAATAAATAAACCAGCGTTAAAAAATTATGGTTCTTTAAAAAACAGACATGGACAGAATTAGATTATAAGAGCAAATGGAACAGAAATTTTACATTTTATCAAGGCTGCGCATTTAGCATGATAATGAGGAAAGATTTTAAGTTGACATGCATGCATTCTCATGTTCTTTCATTTCCCTCTATACTTAATATACATTCATACATATAAGCAAACTGCACACACTGGCTGTTAGGTGTCGAGCATCATGTGTCAGGGGTGGCATGATGGTACTGTGGTAGTTACAGGAGCATTTGACAGGAGCAATTTTCTCTTACCTCCCCAGACTGTAAGCCATCAGGCACGGGAGGACCCTCTGGGGCAGGTGGTAACAACGTTGGGTTGAACATCTGAACAGATTAAAGTGCAAAAGAAGAGAATCTGGATGAGGAGAGCATCAGCTTTGTACTTCTTTTCAACTGGCTTAAGTTTCCCCTAATGTCCTTATGACCTCGTGCGATTATGGTTTTTGAGAGCGATGATGAAACTGAGATCAAAGTGCTGATACAAATGTCAAGCTAAAATGCATTTCAAGCATGAGAGCAGCTCTGTGAATAGGTTTTTTTAAACATTAGGTTTACCTGTGGAGCAGCGCTGGTGTTTGGTGAATTCTGCTCCTGATGTCCTCCTTCAATGCCCTCCAGAGGTTGTTGATCATCAGGAGCTACATCAGGGACAGAGAAAAAATACTTCATTACTTCATCTGCAGCCATCAGAGGAACATTGCTTGTGACTATACCGGCACACATATAAACTAAGACAGTTTATTAAAATTTAAAAATTTACATAAATGTATGTATTCATTTTTATAAATGACACAAACCTGAACTAGGCACAAATAGGTTAGTGGGCATGGGCATTGGTGCCAGAGGAGCAAAGATGTCTGCTGGAGCAGGGGCTAATCCACCCGGTTTAGCAGTTCTACTGGGGTTCAGGACATCCACATATCTGCTCCTAGTGCCTGAGAAGACAGAAACACATCAGAGCAGCAAGAAACAAAGCAAACAGCTGGTGTGAACAGTGACTAAACTGATAGACAATTATATTGGTGTTAATGATAATAAGTAATAAGTGGTGTCTCCTTGATTACAGCAATTAAAACTTTCATGGTCATTCATGGCATTTGTGAAGCCAAAAGTCACTTCCAGTAACCCTCATCTCACCTGCCTTCCTGGAGAACATGTTGACAGGAGGACCGCTGCAGGGGGGTGCAGCAGGCCCTCCGGGGCCAGGCATTGGAGCCATCTTGGGGAAACCAGAAGGAGGTGGTGGAGGGGGCTTACTCTAACAGATTATAAGAAAGCCACATATTAGAACTGGTTGGTCGATAAAGGTTTCAGTTTCAGTTGCTCAATTTAGACAAAGCCTGGTTGCTTAAGAATTTGTTTGTCTTGTAGACCAATTTTAAAACCACAACAGACCTCCTCTTCTGGCTCGTTCAAGTCGACCCATTTCTTCTTCTGTTCATCCCACACAATCTGACAATTAAGAACAAAGCACTCTTCTCAGTACTGGTGACATACAGACATAGATGAACAAAACCTGTGCAAATATGTGAAACTGAATACAGAGAAATGCTAAAACAGGACCTGCAAATGTAAAAGCTGTAACTTACAGATTTTGTTGTGTCATCTGGCAAGTGAGCCTCATTCTTCCCCTTCCGAGAAAACAAGTTCACCAAGCCAAAAATAACACCACCACTCTGTGTATATGAGAGAGGAAAATTTGCACTGAAAACTAGTGAACATTGCGGGAGCACTAAGTAAGATCAGAATGCTTATGTGTGACTATGAACCTTTTTCGGGGAGTCTTTCTTGACTTTTTTGGCCTCTTGATTGCGGGGCTGTTCAGGAATTGAAGGCGGAGGTGGAGAGGCCTGCTTCACAGCTGAGTTGCTGCGCTCTCTTCCACCAGAGTGAGTGGAAGACTCAGAGGTTGTACGTGAACGCCGTCCTGGACCCTTTAGACCAGAAAACACTTGTATAATAGACAATAATAGACATACACATCTTTCTTTTGAGCCTCTTATAAAGAGAGCTTGTCCTTGGGGGGCCTTGTCATGGACATGCTTCCTGTATTCGCTTTTCTCCAATCATGCACCAAGGATCTTTTGTCCTTTCCTAACCACTTCACCTTGACCTCAGTGGAAAACATCATGAAGTCAAGGAGAGATGTGAAGGAGAATTTCTAAGGACTTAGGACGACAACCGCAGTGCTTGGGCTACGAAATTATCCGAAAGCAGGTTTGGGGTTGTTTAAAATTTGCTGCTGCAAGGAATTGTGGGACATCATTATCTCTTTTTCTTTCTTAAAGGGTGGTCCACTGTACCCTATGCTAAATGAGATAAGAAAGGAAGCATTGGGGCACCTTTCCTCAGCATTTGGAGAATTCAACCAGCTTATCATAGATGCCACTCAGATACTTCCATGTCACTTCACTCAGTTAGGAACCTTCTGAAGCAAAAAAGACTATTCAATCACAACACATATCATTACTGAACTGAATTCTTGATACTGATTTTGAATTCTTAACTTGCCGGCATGTGCTGATAACTAATCATGCAAACCTTATTCTTTCATTCTACTACTGCTCGTCACTTTGGCAGAATAGATATCCATATTAAACATAGGGCTGTCTTCTTCTAGATTCTCACCATGGTATATAACAGTGTATGGATGGATTATTCCTCTCACTGTTCTTGGGAGAGATGAAATCTTCTTTTACAACACTGTATAGTATAACTTGCAAAATAGTCCAGTGGATTGGTTGGACAGGGTTCCTTGTTTTTTTCTGCATGTGACACAGCATTAAAACGCCCTGCTAAACTGTTTTGAATTTAACAAATTGTAGTGATTGATGGTCATTTAAAATACCATGTATGATTAGCTCTGCAGCACTATATTGAATCCTTTTTTGTTGACACGTGCAAAACAACCTGCTCTACATCAGGTCTGAAAACACGTGCTAATACAAACAACTTATTTAACAGAAGAGCCACCAAAAATTATATAGATAACACATAAACGCACCATATGCATTGAAGACTGTGAAGTAGTCCTTGATCTCCCATGACCCTGCAGCACCAGAAAAAACAATGGCATGAACTTTTATTGTGATTTGTGCAAAAACACAACAGCAACTTTTCTTTGATATTCAGACAGGTGGATACTGACCATGAGTGCCATGTGGTCATAGAGGTCCATCTGAGGCGTGAAGGAGCTTCTGGGTGGGGAGGATGATATTGGCTGAGCTGTCTGCATCTCAGGTGGGACCTGGAGCGGCTGCTCTACTGGCAGCATACGCCCAGGAGAAGGGGGCATGTGCTGAGGCATCTGGTGTGGCGGGTGGTTCATCTGCACAGGTGAATGTGGCATCTGAGGGGGCATATGTGGTGACATTTGGCCCACATGAGGAGGTGGGGGACAAGGCTGCTCATGGGCTCCTGGATACATGTCCGACTGGTCATGTTGAGGCTGGAAGGGAGGAGGGGCAAAGCCAGGATCCTGTGGAGGGTAGCCTGAGATGGGGATCTGGCTTGGTGGTCCACTGGGGGGTACTGGGTAGAACTGGGGTACATCACTGGGGGGTAAAGGCTGAGGTGGGGCCATCCCTTCTTGGAGGATGGAGGTGGGAGCTGAAAGAAAGAAGAGGTCAGACCTGATGCACTGCAACTGGCTCACAGTCATGAGGGGTTAAAAAGGAGGCCACAAGAACACTGTGTCGAACAAACACACAAATACATTTTCACTTACACACACACACACACACACAAATACATTTTCACACACAAACCTGGAGGCATCAGCTGCACTCCCTGTGGTGGAGGCCCGGGCAGTAATGAGCTCATTAGTGGGTTGTCAGGGGTGGGGCCATCCACCTCCAGCGGCATGCTATAAGGTTCAGGTGGACTGGTCTGGTCCAAGTCAGAGCTGGGGCTGCTGCAGTTGAACTGTGTAGGAGTTGTTCTGCCTGCACTGTAGGTTATCGCCCCTGTCTAAAAAAACACAGATTGAAACATTTCTTTCATGGGTACAAATGACCAAGGTTTAAACTACCATAAATGTAAGATTAAATTCCACAATTTCCACATCAAACATTAGTCCAGGTTCTTACATACTGTCATTATTGTTATCATCATCATAAGAATTTGAGTTAACAAACAAAACAAAGGAAGGTTTATACCAAGTTTTTTCTGAGATTTAAAGGGACCAAAAGCTTAATTCTTGGCTAAGAAGTCCAAATATAACACTGGAAAAAAAGTGCTACTAAAACAAATTCCATTCTTTTGAATATCCTTTGTTTTTTACTTAAGCAATACAGTATGACTGCAAATACATTTCCTTCCTCCTCACCCTGATCTGTCCATCCAGCTGTCTGAGGTGAATCAGCCATTCAGGCTCATTGAACAACTCCTGCTCAGGCTTCTCCTTCAGTTGCGGATCGAAGAACCGCAGCTTTTCAGACATCTATCAACAAACAGCAGAAAATGACATTAGTCAGAATGAAAAAAATGATAACATATCTGAAAAAGAGTGGGCACACACCTGTATGATTTGGCTAATGAAAACAGGAGAGTAGTAGGAGGGCTGCACGAGGACAGTCCTAGAGATGACTTCACAGTAGTGGAAGGCCTGAGCACTCAGGCCTGCTTCAGCCAAGCGGCATGCATAGATCAACTTGAACACCTAATGAGAGACAATAAAGAGCAGAGAACAGTGTTATTGTTCTGTAGTATCACCACGATGGACATAATTGTTGATAATTCATTCAGTAATTAGTAAATACAGAAAAACCGACCTGGAAATTGGGCAGTGTGCAGGGCTGGGAGCCCAGAGATTGAGCATACTCATAGGCCTCAGTCCTCTGAATAGCTTCATTGGTCGCAAATTGGTAAAAGGACAAACTGAAGGGAAGAGACAAAGATACGGTTATATATGTGGCATATTTTGTGCAAACTGTAAGGTAAGGTGTAAGGATTTCATCACATTTCAACAATGTGCATGTGCTCATCTGTCTCAAACCTGTGATTGGAGCCAATCAGAACCATCTTGGTGCTCTTCTTAGTGAAAACTCCCAGACCAACTTGGGCCATCAAATAGCAGAAGTGTGCAGCATCAATCAGCCCCTTGGAAGCTGCCACCACACAAAATGAGCACAGACAAAATGTGAGGTATTGTGTTGTAAAGAATAAAAGACCCTTTTTGATTTAATGCAGTGAGTTACTGCCTTTGTTTTATGCAATCCTACCGAGAGTGTCGCCCATGGTGGTGATTGTGCGGGTGTCCAGGTCCAGGGTGTGTGTGAGGTTAGACAGCACCATGGCCAGGTGAGGGCGCCAGTCACCCCACTTCTCCTCTCCACAGCACTACATGAATACAATAAATTACTTAAGTTGCAAAAAAGACATGCAAGACTACACACCTGAAAAGTACCACCTATTAAACTTCAGACTAATCATAAAAAAAAATAATGGAGGGGTTAAAGAGAGAAGACCAAAGCAGTACTTACAGTGGCTGATGCAGGCATCCTCCCAGACATCAGCTGGTACACCGTCTGAAGAGGGTCATTGATGGGCAAACTGTTGGCAAACCTAAGCAACAAAGAAACTATTTAAATGTCACATCTATAAATATGTAAAAAAAAAAAATTTTTTTTAAATCACAGAATAATGGTGGAACTTATTTTATGAGTCACAACCTTAAGATCACTAATACTTTACCTTGTCATGACCCGTGCATGTGTCCTGTTGTCCATCTTACTGGCCAACAGCAGGGCGTGGCCCCAGAGACCTCCCTTCATGGCTGCTTCAAGTGCATCCTATTCCACGGACAAAGCAGAGCCCATTTCAGATTTAACAAGATAAACACTAAATGAAATGACAATAATGCAGTTAAAGAGGGTTTTTCTCACCTTCTTGCGGCCAAACAGCAGCAGCTCCCTGAAGCGCTCCGTTTCCTTGCCAACGTTCTCTGGGACAATCATGAAGGTGTCAGATAGGAGGGAGAGTGGTCCAGATCCTTGCTCTTCCTCAGCATGTGCCAGTGGTTCATTGTTAAAATCAATCAAGTTGGCTTCATTAGGACTCTTGCCCGGTAGCCAAACAGAGCGATGCTCCTTCAGCAGGAGGTCAGCAATGTCTGTGCCTACCACAGTCTTAAGAAAACAAGCAACAAAGAGTATGATGATGAGAAAGTGGTTTCATGCAGGAAAGTCACATTCCTGCTTCTAATTCTCATTCTGACAGATTCCCCAGTTACGTCTGTACAGTCTTACCCCATTCTGTCTACAGAGCAACATAATGAAGTCCCAGAGCAGACGGGCAGAGTCCCTGTCCAAGAGGTTGTTGTCACGGGAACACTCGAGTGCTTTGTTCTGGGAGAATTTTATCACATCCACCTTATGGGTCTCCTCCCTGATGGAGAGAATGCAAGAAGTGAGTGGGGTGGACGGTGTTTATGTTATTGTGAACAAAAACTCATCAAGGCATGGTCCTTCATAATGATGAACTGATGAATGAGCACTGTAGTTTTTTGAGACACTATTTACTCCTGTTTGAGTAATGTTTGCTATAAATTACAATATGCAGCCTTTTTAGGAAAATAAAAAATGAAACTCTATATTCTTGACTAGTTTTCAAATATTTATGTCTTCAGGAAGAACAAATGGGCTTGGCACTAAGAGCAACAGACAGGCTGGGGAAGTCGCAGAGTATTGATAAATGGACTAATGCAATGGACTAATGTTGGTTTTGGTCTTTTCATTTGATTTGTTGACAATAACAAAAATGTAGATTGCCTCATCACTCAAATATCCCATCCCTCAAATGTCAGTGTCTCTAAGCTATTTGTAATGGATAAATAGGGATGAGTACACTTACTTAACCAGAGGTCCAGGGAAGGCTCGTAGTTCTGCCTGATCCGGGGTATCCTGCAGCATGGTCTGCAAACACAAATGTGGTTTGAAACACTACTTCATACAGTCTTAACATTGTGTAGGGGCCTGAAAACGAAACATCCCAGAGCTACACTGAAGATGCTGAAATGTAATCTGTTCAAAATGTACCTCCATGTTGTGGATATCAACAAGTGCAGGCTGTCCAGCTGAGGGGAGATTGGGCAGAACTTGAACCAGATGACCACCAGGTCCAAAGCGAGCACAACGGTGGGGTATGGTAAACTTCTCTGGCGTGGCAGGACGAGGGGGGGCTAGAGGAAAAATAAGAGTCAGACCATGAGTATCTCTCATATTTCTGATAAGGATCATGTTAGCATTTATGTTTAAAAATGCAAACAGCCTTGAAACTGAGAATTGTCCATTTACGTTGCTCAGGGGCGATCCAGGTGCTGTCTGCAGTGTACTCAGATGGATACATGTACTGACTGTAGTTCTGGGAAGCATCAGCTGGGTTTGGGTATTGTCCGTAGGAGTAGTCCACAGCCAGAGTGGACGCTGTGGTGTCATAGACTGCTGACACTAAGTCAGGCTGGCTCCTGTATGCTTGGCTCTGCAGGAAGTGAAGACAAACAGATATAATTATCAAATAGGAAGATATAAAAAACATAAAAGCAATTCCCACATACTGTAGCTTGCACACATTTATCAGCCATTTGTTGATTAAAATACCTTAAACTATTTGGTTTTAGAATCAGCTGCCAGGAGAGTTATTGGGAAATCATCTGTGCAACTCACAACAGAGTAAGTGTGGAGTAAATACTGCAATTCTAATAAGCATTGAGAGTGAGAGTGGCAGGAGGTTAGTGTGAAACATCATTACACACTTGACTCAAGGGTTCACAGAACATCACAACACAGAAACATGTGATGCAGCTGTTATCAGCTATACTACTTTCCTAAACATGAGGAATGCGTCTATAGAGATGACCACCCCTTAATCTGTCATGGAACTGTTATTAATGAAGCAGTTGAGATGCAGGAAGGATCATGGGACTGCTTAAAAGTGTGGCTAATAGTACAGAGTAGATGCTAGAGGGTGTCATGGCAGAGCAACCACAAGTTAGCAACAGTAAAACAGTGAAGAACATCCCTTAGATCAATAGTTTCACATTTTGGAAAACAGACCTATTCACTATTTTGCTATCTCTCAGCAAGAGAGATAGATGTGAGGATCAAAACCACTCTCATTTCTATAAATATGAATATATGAAGCTGTTTCCAGTCTTTATGCTAGGCTAAGCTAAGCAGCCACTGGCTGTAGCTTCATATTTAGCGATTTGATCTTCTCACTCTCTACAAGAAAGTGAATAAGCATATTTCACAAAATGTCAAACTATTCCTTTGTGTGTGAACAGAAATGAACTACCATACAATAAAATAAGGGAAAATTAGAGTGCAGTGTGGGAATGTTAAATACAGTCCCACACTTTTCTTTCCAGGCCATTTCTAACATTTTGAAACCCAACCACAACTCGCAGATGATCCATGTGGTAAACACACTGCCCATAGTATCGGAACCACATAACTCATTTTGATGAGCATTTTATCATGAGTGTCAATATAAATGAAAACCATAATCTTCAGGAAACTGAAATTTAGCAATTTTCATGTGTTAAAATTAGCTTCATGGCAGTGTATACAATTTTGTCTTGATCTTTTCCTGAGAAATCCACAGACCACCCATTATGGCATATAAGGGAACTGTGACAGCACTCTGTATAACTTAGGAAGCAAGACTAACAATAGTGAAAATCAAGCTATAATGAAAGCAAAATGAAGTAAATGAAGAAATACTCTGAAATAAACAGGAAATGGGAAAAACATGTGTCAAGTTCACAGTTAATGCAGATTCAGGAGCTGTGACAGAATTAGACAGCATCACCTGTCCTTTATATACAAGTTTATCAATGTACTGTCAGCCAGGACTGCTGGTGTCAAAGAAGCATGTAGGCAGATATATGGCAGGTGAGGAGCACCATATTATGCCTGAAAGCAGTTGCACCACATGCCATGGTCTAAAACATGTTCACTAGTGGCTCGACCTTGAAGGCCCTGTAATGCTGTAATAATGTAGGTAATAACACCTACGGAAAAAAATGATTTACCTGTTGTGACCGTGAGCTGAAACTGCTTCGTCTGCTGTGGTGGCTCTGAGAACTGTGCACACTGTGTGCCGACTGCTCACTGTGGACGCTGCGTCGGTCAAACTCGTCGCCGTACATTTCTCCACGCCGATGGTAGTCGTCATCAAAACTGGGATCATAACCAGGATAGTACCGCCACTGGTCCTCATAGCCATCTTTCCTATGAGTGGAGTATCCAGTGTTTATAAAGAAAAACAGCACTCGATTTTTTTCTTAAACAAGACTAAAAGTATCTAACATTAATCACACATACATAACGACAGGAAATAATAGCACATAAATGACAAGAATAACAGCACATATAAATAACTACAGCAATACTTTCTTATACAACTCTACAGTACCTACTAACAAATGTACATTTATGTCATAGAAAACAATTTCACTGACATGTACTACTAAGACTGGTGGATTTCTCTGCATACCTGGCAGGATACATATGATGATTATAGTAGTTGTCTCTGCCTCTGTAGCTCTCATCGTAATTAGCCCAGTAGGACTGATCATAATATCCTCTGTATCGAGGGTCATACTGTCCATAGTTGTATGCTTCCAACAGAAAATATGGAGAGAAGGAGAGACAGATACAAATCAAAAGAATTTTATATACACAAAGAATTATATGTTTAGTGAACAAATAATTTTACAACAAATTCAGTGAAGGAGCAGGGGAAGAAAATGTGCTCCGGTCCACACTAGTAAGTGAACACAGCTTTCAACTCTATGGTTCATACCTCTGTAATCATAGTTCTTGGAGTAATCTGCATAATAGTCACTATAGGCACTTCGGTTTGCTCTGTGGTAATCTTCAGGATAGCCTTGTCTGTTGGAGAAAGTAAACAAAAGGTGAGATTTATCGGTCATGTATGAAAACATACTGAATGTTGCCTCTGCCAAACAAAGCCAAACACACCTAACCCTAACCCTAACCATGGGGATTACCTAATTCTCAATATTCTCTTAATTAATTAAGAAACTTAAAATCAGCATAAGCAAATTAATGACTGAAATGAAGTCATTGTGACTTTATATGTGGTACAGCCGATGTAAATGAAGATGAACTATTGAGAAACAGTTTTACTGACCTGGATGAAGGCCTGTCAGAGTATTGACTGGCTCTAGAGCTGGGTCGCTCTGGCTGAGGCTCTCTGTACTGGTAGTTTGGATCACGATAAGCTGGGGTCTGCCCATCATATCTGCCATACCAAGGATCTGCTCGGCTCCTGTATGCCCCATCCTGAAAGATAAAAGCATCAATAAATGTGTTAATTTTTTTACATTTCATGGCATTTCGCAAATGAAGTACATCTTTACATAAAAGTGTCAGATGAATACATTCACAAGATAACATAGGAAAAAAAAAAGACTTTCATCATACTTGATAGAATTGCTGTGCTCTAGGATCCCCAGGTGGAGGTGGGTACTGGCCAGGAGGATAAGATGCCCTGTTATCCGGGTATTCTCCATAATTACCGTAATAGCCACTATACATCTGTCCTGGTACTGGGGGAGGGGGCCCATAGCCTTGCTGGCTACCTGCAGAGGAGGGTGGTCGAGGTGGCTCTGTAGGAGCTGGCTGGGAAGACCCTGCAGGTACTGGTCCTCGAGGCCCTGGGGGGTAAGCAGCAGCTGAAGGAGGAGTGCTCGCTGCAGCAGGCCCCTGCGCTGGAGCTGGATATTGGCCATGGGATGGTTGTGCTCCACTCATCAGAGCAGGAGGAGCATCACCTTGTCCCTGCAGTGCAGCCAGAGGGTCTGATGCCTTGGGAGGTTCCGTTGGTGGTGGCTGGGGATTTGCAGCTGCTTGGGAAGGAGCTGGCAGTACCTGTGGGGTAGATGAAGAGGCTGGGGTCTGAACAGGGGCATTCCCTTCCATTCTTACCCCCTGCTGAGCATCTTTGGTGACCTGTAGGTAAAATCCATTACTCGATTGTGGAGACTCGTGCAGAGAAGAAGGATGGCCAGATGCTTGGTTTTGAGTTTGTGATTGGTGCATAGAAAAATCAAGCAGTTCATAATTTGATGGTTGATTATGATTAGGAACAGTAGCAGTCATGAGAGAAGCCTGTGGATTAGGTTGGAGAACAGAGTGGCTGTCTCCACCCACTGATTGGCCCCTTGAAAGAGGAGGGCGGACTGGCTGAGGCTGAGGCGGAGCTGTGATTTCTGACGTTGCCACCTCTGTGTTGTCTCGGGTCAGATTGAGTGGACCCTGGTTAGAGGCTGAAGAACTGAAGCTTATTGGTCCAGTGGCAAACGGTGGACTTATATTAGAGGCTACTGAAGGTGAGTGGGAGGTACTGGCACCCTGTCCCTGTGCGAATGATGTCACAGGTGGGGTAGTTTCCCTAAGGCTACTTTGACTGGCTGCTTGGACAGGGGTACTGGGGTGAATCACATTGTAATTTGACACAGGCGGGGCAATCAAAACAGGCTGGTGGAGCGAATCAGACACCAGGAGAGACGCATATCCCATATTGGCTTGAGCATCTGTTGGCTCTGCCTCACTCACCTTTGGTGGGTTCTCTAGGTTCTCTGAGTGCTGCTGTGGCGTTGGCTGGACTCTCTGGGAGGGCTGGAGGTCCAGTGGGCCATCCTCTGGAGGTTGAATAACATCAGCACTAGGCTCTCGTAAAGGGGCAAGAACTGTTGGGGCAGCAGGGGCTAGGAGGATGTTAGTGCCCAAGCTAGTAGGATCATTCTGAGCCCACAAAGTAGTGGCAGGGCTCTCACAGGGCCGACTGGCCCCGTGAGCACGGGATGAAGGTCGAGAGTGAGAATGAACCACTGGGTGTGCCAGGTGAGGTACACCTCCTCCAGCCCCAGCAGGCAAGGGGTGTCCTTGACCATATATATTTTCCATATTATCTGGTGGCTGCTCCAGGTTGCCAGGTGTAGAATCTGCACCCTCTTCTGCTACAATTTTAGCCACATCAACTTCAACAGGACGCACCCCAACCCCATGTGAGCGAACAGGTTCAAAAGAGCTGTTAGCACTTGCCTGAAAGATACCAGTTGGTTTGGGAGGGCTAGGTGTGGGAGGCCACATCTGCTCCAGTGAGCTCTGTCGAGCACCCATATCTCCAGCTGGGGACGTGTCAATCTGCTCAAAGTAACCGCCAGTGGCAGCAGACAGGTTACCATCATCAGTAAGGCGAGGGCTTTCTTGCTGAATAAAGGTACCCACTACTCCCTGGTGCCGACGAGTGCCAGTTCCACTTCCATGGCTCATATTGCTATAGTTGGATGACACACTGGCAGATCTCATTGGTCTTGGAACAGAATCTGGTGTCTCTAGGTTTGGCCCGGTTTCAAACTGGTCTACTCCATGGGCTGCTGCAGTAGCAGCAGGGCTGCCATGGGCTTCACTGGGTAATACTTCCTGGTTCGGGACACACTCCAAATTCTCTACATGGTCGTAATGGGAATCAGGGGGCTTCTGGGTATTTCCTTGTAGTGATGCATGATTGCCATCATTCAGGTACGGTGCGTGTGAATGATCTTGAAGAGAAGCTCCTTGATAATCCAAAGGGGCATCTGCATGGCCACTGTGGATTTGTGGGTTGTGGTGATGCTGAAAGGAAGCAGGAATACCATTCACTGCCTTATTTCTGCCTCCAACAAGTGTTTCCTCATTTTCCACATCATTGTCTTTGAAGAACATTGAGAGTGTACCAGACTCCTGAGAGTATGGAACAGGGGCAGGGGCAGGCGCAGAGCTGGACGCATGTTGAGCTCCAACAGAGTCTGACTGGGGCTGAGGATGTCCCAGGCCAGTCCCCATTTGGTGGTAGCCTGAATCCTGTGGAGATGGGTTGAACCAAGAGTCCTGGGGGGCAGAGCTCTGGCTAAAGTAGCTCTGAGTTTGGAAGTGGGAATTATGCTGCTGGGGTGCATTTGGGTCAGGCCATTGAGAACTAGGGGCCTTTACAGGGTTCTGAGGGGGGAGAGGAGCCTGGACCTGGAGGTGTCCAGGTTGCGTTGGAGGGGTGGGTGTGTTATGATGGGGCGATGGGGTGTGGGAGGGGTACATCTGGGTCTGTGGAGGTATATTGAAAGGTTGTGGTAGAGGATCACTAGTAGGCTGGAAGTAGTTCTGAACTGATGGAGGGCGACTTCCATGATCAGGAGCCCACTGCGAAGAAGAAGTGGTGGGAGGAACTGGCTGGAATGGTCCAGGCTGAGGATGTGGCTGTCCTTGAAATTCCTGGTTAAAAGGTGTATGACTAGGTGTTGGGGTTGAGGAGACAGGTGGTAGCTCTGTGGCCATGGATGGTGTCTGTTCTCTTGAATTAAAATAACCCTGCTCAGTATGAGAGGATGCATATCCTGCGGGACCTGGAACTGGGAAAACACCAGGGGATGCTGCACTGTTAGGGTTGAACAATGTCACCCCTGGCACAGAGGATGGTGGAGGACCAGGAGGAGCAGCTGGGACATCCTCCTGTGAGTGTGGTTGTGGAGGCAGCCCTCCACCAGCCTGAGAGTACATGGTGTTAGGTGGGGCTTGCATGGGTGGAGGGTTGCTGTTCGGTATTGTTGGGAGACCACCTGCAGCCATAGGGGGAGGAGCCCTAACAAAAGCAAAAGGGTCTGTCATGGGTTGGGTAGCGGATGGCATTGTGGCAGTAGCTGCTGCTGGATGCTTGTGAGGCCTGGTCCTGCGGAACATATTGGGCCCAGAAGGAGGAGGGCCAGAGGCTCCTGGAGGTCCAGTCCGCGGAGGGGGCTGCATGGCTGCAGAGCTAACAGGTCCGAGGACCAGGTCACTCTAGTAGATGTCACTGAAGAGAATGAAGTCAGGCGAAGCTGGGAAAAGAAACAGAAAGAGGGAGTGGTTGACAAAATGTACACATGCCTCTTTGATGGACTTTACCACACCTTTATTTGTGTAGTAGTCTATGATCCTACTTAAACGAGAGGTACAACGTGGCAATTTCTACATGAGCTCTCAGATGTTGTTGGAGATAAATATTACAGTACTTATAGTGCTATACTGAGCAGAACACAATTGACCAATTGTGATAAATGCCAACTTTGATTACATGACACACTGATTGAAATGGTTTTACTTTCAAAGCTTACTGCTTATCTCACTCAAGCAGGATCTGCAGGATATAAACAGATATAAATATTTCTGTAATTCTACAAAGGAAAAGATGTTAAAAAAAAAAAAACAAACAAAAAAACACAAACTTGTCACATATGAGAGGAGAATATCACTCAAATGAAAGTAGATGTTTTTTGTAAAAACTGCAATATCACATTAAGTTAATAACACTGAAACAGGTGCAGAATATTAGCAGGAAGATCATTTTAAAGTTAGTGAGGAAAATGAGAAATTCTTAACTACTTATTAGAAAAGTACCTGCTTTAGATCAGAGACAGCTGTTGCCAGGATGTAATTTTGAATGTGTTGGAGTCTAGAAACTATTGACAAGACTGCAAGGTGCAATTGTAATAATAGGTGTTTCATGTATTTTGTAAGGATAAGAACAGTTAATCTGCTAAAGGTAAAGGAAATGCTGATCTTATGACTGAACTTCTCTAAACGGGAACTCGTTGGTGTAACAATTAGCTTAAATAAGTTCTGCAGCTAACGTGTGCAGCTGTATTGTTTTTGTTGGTAACAGTTATTGGTGAGACTTTAATAAAGAAGCCACAAGTACAAAACATAAGAAGGTCAGACAGCTGACTGTGTCCTAATGAGATTATTTATGTTAACTATCAAACACAGGCACTGTGGATCTGTCAGTGGGAAGTTCAGGAGAGCCAACACTGATTGACACTGAACATTTGACATGTTAGAAAGGGAGGTCAATAACAGACCGAACTAGCAGGCAATTAGTCTTGGTCAGATGGGCTCTCCCAAAGTGATCCCGGATCTTTTCAAACGCCTTGAGTTATAATTTCACCATGAACCGTTACAAGCCCTTCAGCTAATGTTAGCGCCGCCGATGTGACAACTTACCGACAGTCAACATGAAACGCCATCGACTTCTGCTCATTATCCGACACTTGCTGAAATCTAATCGGTGGCTAGCTCTGTTTGGTCTGGGCCGACTTTGAGTTAACGTTACACATTAAGCTGCCTACGAGGAAAGGTCCAGAGTGCTCGGCTCAACAGCTAACGGCAACGCTACACTGCTCTGTCCTAAACGCCAGACCCAGCAAAACACTGACATCCAAAGTCGCCTGTTTTGTCCCGAAACCGTGACTTCCAGAGACTGTCCGATAACGAACGATGTATCCTTTTCATACACATTCAACACCGACACGGGCACACGCCGAGCAGTTACGGGTCGCTAGCCACTCGTCGAGCATAATTTAACAGGTTCACTGCCTGGTCAGCTAGCATTAGCACTGCTGCTTAGTTAGCACTGCTGGCTAACTAGCCTAAGCTAACTACAGGGGTAACAGTTTCAGGTCGGTATCAGACACCAGATTAAAACAGCCAGAGTAAAACATTGTTAATTGTGGTATATATTTACTCTTACCCGATGACGGAAATGTGTACAAATATAAATAAATTCTTACAAATGTGCAGGAGAGTGAGTCTGACACACCGCCACCATCTTCAATGGCAACACATCCTACTAGGCTACGTGTACAAGCTGCGTCACGGGCCAAACAACGATTGCGTCTTCACAGGGCGGGGCTTGTTAAAGGGTCCAGTCCAGTCTGTGTATTTATCTTGATCAATTTGCATCCAAGAATTGATGGATTTAAATCAATGATTTACACTCAACAAGCACTCAGTAAATGACTTATTGTTTAGATCCTTTGATCCTATGTCTACATGCTATGCACCCTAATTTAATGTGTATATCTGACTTCCTAACAGATCAGGATGTGCTCAAATCTTATACAGGAAAATATGAAGAGTAACATTGTGTTAAATTTAAACTGGCCTGACACAGTTAAAACTGTTCCTGTTTTGCAGCACAGAATGAAATTGATCACATTACAAACAAAACAGAAACAATCAACAGAAACACCACAACAATTAAAAACAGAGACTCCTACGCAGTCACTTCACAGGACGACATTTGAGTGGAGACAGTAAAATGGTGTATATGAGTTGAATCAGTAGTTGCAAGTGTGTCCTTCCATCAGGTTGTGCTTATATGCCTGTTTAACACTAAACATGGTTTGAAATGTGAAAATATAGAGGTTACTGCTCTAATGTCATATGGAACCTCATTCGTGATTTTGGAATAAATGCATGAGAAATTGATCTAGTGATACATTCGCTGTCTTGTGTTGTGTCTGTGTTGAGGTTAGGTTGAGTTATTGTTTTGGATCTGAAAGTAAAATTTGATGCCTATATTATTCGTGTAGTTCTGAATGTGAAAGTGCAGTACAGTGGTGAGTCCTAGGGGGAAGGTTGCCATGGATTTTATAATGCCTGTTGTATACTGTGGTCTTGCTATTGGTTCAGTGATTTCCTTTGTGGTGAGGGGCCAGACCGGAAGACAAGAGGATAGTGTTGTTGAAAGAATCGCATGAAGATATGTGTCCAAGACAGTGAATGTGAAATATGGTATGATCTTATTAAAAACATACAATTTCTATTTCAATACACTTATTTGTAAGTTGTTATTACTTTTCAGAGTAAGATTACTACATCTTCATCAGGGCCTGTATACATTTTCAGAGAAATGGTCTTTAACTTAATAATATTCCTAAACTTTGATTTATAAATCAAAAAATATTCTTTTATGTTTATACAGAATGCCCCCCTCAAGCACTGAATCAGCCAATAGCAGGCCTGCATCACACCTGTTATTGCAGCTTCATGCACACTACCTATCATTCATTATATCCAACAAAACGAAGCATACAAAAGGGACCTATGTCCCCTTGTAGTTAATGTTGATAGCATACCATTTTTATTATATTACCCATAACAATGTTAAGGATATATTAACCATCTATGGAGGCAGCTAATATATAATAAATATTAATGCAGGATTTTTTTCATGTAACATGAGGAAAAATTACAGGAATATCCATGACTAATATTCACTCTGGCTCTGACTTTGTGTTTTCTGTCTTGCAAAGTCCTGTGATGCTGCCATCTGCTGGTCACTGACTGTAGGCGTCATCTGGAGATATTTTAAATGATTCTGGCAACAGCAATCATAGCAGTAGCATTTCCACTCATAGCTCCACCCATTACCCAAACAATTTAGCAATTACTTAAATCAGCAAAACATGCTGATAAAATTTTGACAATATTACGGTTATTATGACATATTTTCTCAATACTACATACAGTTATTTAGTTTTTAGAAGACTATTTTTTGTTGCAACAACATATGACTTTATATTCTTATCAGCAAACATTCTTGTTATTTCACAAAACACAAAACTTTCCTCATTATCACATGATAAGTTGGCTGTTATAGCGAGAAACTTCCATATAAGGTTACAGTAAAAAGAGACAATAAAGAGATTGTACCTGACATCCGTTAGACATTGGTTTTTGAATATTCTCCTTAAGAAGGAGAAAAATACTTAAAGAAAAGAAAAAAAACTTTCTTTAACTAACTTGAACTGGTGCAAAAATGCAGATTTTGTTTGTATGCATCAAATCTTTTTTTTAATGTTTAGTGATGATAAATAGAATGCTCCACCTTTGTAACACATTATCTAACTTTGTATGCAACCACTAATCTCTCACTGTGGGCAGCCTACATGAGGCCTTGAGCTATGTGACACACAGTGGGTGTATATAATCTATTTCTACTAATTCAATAAAAGTCATCCTGTTTTTTCAAAGGTAATGGAAAAGTCCACCTTGACAAGCTGTGGTCAAGTAGCGTAAATGAAAGAAAGCACACACTCTCAGTGCAGAGTTCAAACACCCACAGTAAACGTACATCTATGTCTTGTTCACACGCCTCCTTTTCTTCTACTTTTGCTCAGACTTGTCAACCGAAACCTGCCCTCCCACTAGACTGTGTCTGGAGACTACGGGCCACAGGGCAGGTTGGAACAGACCTTCACGTTTTGCACCTAAAATCCCCTGGCTTGTGCTCTTGGTGCAGAAATTACTAATCCTGAGCTAATGTACAGTATATGCAGATAATGAAGACAGTTGTAATAATATACATGGTGGTATCATTTTTGACAAATACTTAACATTAATTAACACATAAAATGTCTTCATATCTACTTACACCTACTATTATAAGCATTTATCAAATGTTTGTACAGTGCTTATAAATGCTAAATTGGGTGGTTAAACTCGGGATGTAGTGCTGGGACTGAAGTTGACGTTTTTACATGCAGGTTTAGTATGCACATACTCTTTGTCACACAGACCAACCACAGTTAACAACATCTGCACCCTCAGCTGTAGATGCACACCACAACCACACACGTCATGTTTCATCTTCCCCTTGCTCAATTTGCAAGAGACAATTTTGTTTTCATTTTAAGAGCAGCGACAAAGAATGAAAATGTGGAATTTAGACCTAGTTATTTCAGTTAGAATATATAAAAAAAAATACAAGTTACGTGTTTGTATGAATGGCTAGCAATGAGTATAACTAGTATCAAAATGTTTAATTGTAGAATTACCCCATTTTAAATTAATTCAGAATTCTTAAGATATCCACATTGATTCTCAGGTTTGATATTTATGTGAAAAGTAGAAGCTGTATCTCAGAAAGAGAAAGCATTCTGCAAAAGTTATCACTTCAGTAAAATTGTCCTTGGCCAATCAACAGCATCTGTGGCCTGCATCATTTCCCAGGGGTGGACAGTGTTTGTCGTCAGAGACTCTGTAAACCCGATCATTAAGGTCATGTTTACAGGAAAGCCTGGAGAGTGGTTAATGTTTGGTTAACCACTATCCAAACTCCTGTTAAGCCCCTGAATGTCAACCTGAGCCCTGTGGTTTTGTTAATGGCACACGGTCTCAGAACAATAGAGTGAGTTCATCCTGCTGAGGCACGTATGTTTGGTCTCAGCAGTCAAACTTGGCAGGTGTGTGATGTCTGAGATAAGAACCCAGAATAGACAAATCATTTTTTGAATAGTCAGAAAAGGAAATAACAGATATTGAGAACCATCTTAGTCTTTGCCTTACTTAATCTCCCTTTCTCTCTCTCTCTCTCTCTCTCTCTCTCACTCACTCACTCACTCACTCACCCCCCCCCCCACCCCCCCACCCACACACACACACACACACACACTTGTGGTTAATAGAGTGATAGAAAAGATTGTATGGGCAGGTGTGGGCAGGGTTTTACACCACAGGATGCAAAGATTAGCATGATGTACAAAATCTCCTATCAGAGAATCTCTGTCATCCCTTCATAATAAACCAGTGTTCAAGTTTGAGATTTGGGTGCTTGCATGAGAAACCCACCAACGTCACGGTGCTGCTTTATATCTCATCTTATTTGCACAGATGCAGTCTCTCACAGTTAGGCCTAAAATGTCTTATGGTGGTTAAAAATCGTACTTACTTACAGTACATAAATGTAATTTAGATATGATATAACTGGATTAATGCTGTTTATTAATGTGTAAACAGCATTTTAAGTGAGGTCACACTGGAGGTCATTTCAATCACTTAATATACCTTTAGAGAGTCGAATCTATAACAATTCATTGTGTTTTATAAAATATTCACAAGTTTTGTCTTGTCAAAGTGACAGCTTTCCTCTCATGAGAACTTGGGGTTGCTTTTGTGTGATTTTCCTATGCTTGATTAATTTAACTAGAAATATTGACTCATACCCTTTGAGTTTTAGTCCTCTTAAAAAAATGAAAAACTGCAGCTGAAATCAAAGGTAGAGGGATTGGTCTTTTCCTCAGTATACATTTTTACTTGTAAGTTTGTGTCACCAATAGACATTGGCTCCATTTGAGGAAGCCAGTGAGCCAGTAGGCACGAAGCCACGGCTGGGCCTGCCACACCTAAATAGTATGCAGTCGTAGTTGAAGTACTTAAAAACACTTGTGTTTCTGCTGTGAAAAAGGACTATTCCACATAAAAAGGATGTTGTTAATGAACCAAGAGAAACAATGAGCCAGCAAGCCAGGCTGGGCTCCCTCTCATTCTCTTGAAAACACCACCAGATGGGGGCGTTGTTGCTCAGATGATCAATCATGAGACAATGCTGAATTCAACTGACTTGCCTGGAGGTACAGATGAAAAGTAACTAATAAAATTACACATATTAAACGTACTGATTCAGAATTACTTTTGACTTTCACAAGGAACTATTTAATTTTATATTTTTAAGAGAAAGAAGTTCAGATATGAAATGATTTTGTTTATTTGATCCAGCAGTTCCTGTTTTCTTTTTTGGTGTGTGTGAGTGTGTGCTTTATTGAATGTGTATGTTAGTGAAAAGCAGTAGTGGGAGCAAAATTAAATGACAGATTGAAGGGCACTTACTAGATTACTCTAGCAGTCCTGTATCACATTCAACCATCAATTAGGACTAGATGCAATTATTGCATTACAAAATTAGGGATAATTTTGTTTTCGCGTTGAGTAAAGCGAGAGTTATGGGAGGAGACGATGGAGGTAGAAAGTAATGTTTTTACAAGTGGAAGATGGATTGTTTTACAAGCAGCAGAG